ATCAAGTAAACCCCCCCCCCCCCCCCCCCCAAGGCGTTGTCGTCGTGTACAGCGGTTCCGACCGACCAACGGCGATACCGCGCTAATCTACGAGGCACAGAGCAGAGCGCAGCAAGCTTGCCCCGTGAGCGATGTTTGATGCCTGGTTTCCTGCTGTTGTTTTGTTGTTGTTTTGTTGCAGCTGCGGTAGGGGCAGAGTTCCCCGAGGACCTGAAGAACTTGGAAGGCACGGACGCCGAGGGGGACATCGAGGGCATGCGTCTGGCGAGCTTCAGCTACCCCGTGGAGGTGAAGGACTACGAGGCCTTCGACACGGACGCTTTCACCGAAATGAAGTAAAGATGTGATTTTGTTGATAACACGCGTCTTTTTCGTCCTTTTGTTGTTGATAAGGCCTTCGACAAGGACTGTTTCACCGAAATGGAGTAGAGACACTCAAGTGTGGGTTGGTTGAGAACACGCGTCTTCCTATTCTTTTCGAGTGTTGTTGACGCGATTTGTTTTTCGAGAGGGGTGAGAAAAGCTTAATCATGGAGGCACGAGAGAGAGGAACATCTGTCTAGTAGCTTATTTCTTCGCCTTTGATTGTTGACGAGGTCCTCTTTGAGGGGAAGCGGAAGAGTGTTCGCGGCGACACAAGGCATCGAGAACAATTCAAGTAGAGACGGGATTGTTGGAAACGGGAATGGTCAGAACACGAGCTCAACGCCCAAGTGTGGTCAGAGAAGCCGCATCGACGCCCTGTTATAATATACTGAAGGTGAACTGGTTTGTTGGTTATGTTTAGTCGTTCGTGCATGCGCGGGTCTTGATGGGGCCATCACTGGTTAGTGAGCTTATCTTGTGTTGTAATAGTGTTTTTTTTTGTCACCATCGAGTTGTTCACCAAACGCAGCGCGCCGTTCAAATAGCAGTGGATGGGGGCTCTCGGAGTGGTCGGGAAGGATAGGAGCTGAGTGCGCGCGGCGTTGAGTATCTCCCCTTTTGATCGAGTCTTTCTCGCCCGGACCTCGGAATTTTCAACCACGAATTTGAAGCGAACTAGAAACGTTTCCGTGTTGAGTTGGAAGTCTCGAGTTTTGTTCGATAGTCATGCGTGTATGTAGGGCAAAAGACAGGTTTCTGGTTTTTTTTGCTCCTTTTCTTTTCGGCGGAAGCTCAATCCGTCGCACCGCAGTTTGGCTACTGTAGATGAAACCCTGGGTAATTTTCTTGTTTCGACCCGTTAACAGTTTTGTATTTCTCTCTCGCCCTACAGCAGTAGTCACATCAACCACAGGCGCGCGGAGTTTGTACACGAAACCCCATGAGCCAGTTATCGATGGGCGAGACTACTGTGTTGTCCTTGGGGAACTCGACAAGACATGCGAGTATACTGATTCCGATGAAAACCACCCCGACCTCGGGCTTCAAGTTCTCAGCTCATCGGCGGGTGCGTTTGTCTTCGTACCACACACACATGACCAACAAGACCGTATTTTCGCTGGATCTCACGCAAGCTTTCGTTCAGAGTTACGGCCCTCTCTTTGCTGGTGCGAACATGAACGCGGCTCGAAAATTACACCCCCCGTCGGTTTCGTTCAACGAAGGCAGCATCTTGTGTTGGATGCTACTTCGTTTCTCGGTTACCATTTATTCGGCTTTATGTCATTGAATGTGCAGAGTTGAATGGCAAAACATGAAATTTGGTCATGAAAAGGAGGGTAAACGCGACTTAATAGCGGCCAGGTCACCGCGTGCTGCAAGAACCAGTGTGCTCGATGTAACAGAAGAACTACCGTTGAGGAAAACCTGGGTTGTCAGACAACCCCAAGTCGGTCCAAACGGTTCCCTCTGCAAGCATGCCTGCCTACGTCGAGGTGGGTAGTAGCGGACGAGAAGAGAGGGAACGAAGAGATCAGCAGGGCGTCTCGGGAGCATCGTACAAATAAGTGTAGGTCCGAGGACGACACGAAGACACAATACACCACCGCCATCTTGGGGGAGATCCAACTAAACACGACGCCACTCTTTTTAACACCCAAACAGAAGGAGATCCAGGATGCGTTCTCAACTACATCAACAACAAAACAGATGATGGAGATCAAGGATGCCATCGCCCGCTCCATCGCTTCGTTCCCCGCCCTCGCAGCCGAGATCCTAAACTAAACTTTGGCCACGTACGTTTTTTTGTCATCGACGGCCCCAACATTTCTTCCAATTGCGCATGGATAGCTGGCGCACCCTTGTGTGCGTAACGAATGGTATCCCCTAGCCAATCAAACGCCCTTGCTGTGATGGTAGCGTGGACCAAGGTGCCAAGAACTTCACCCACAGTTTTCCCTTTGCGATGTCATCTATTTAGAGCCCTCGACGTGTTTTGGTCGTCCCGGGATTCTGATTGGTCGAAATCCGAGCGCTCAAACCCGGTTCATTACTCCGCCCTAAAACGCAAACACGCTAACTGCACAACGCTTCATTGACGACAGACACTGCCATCGGCTGCAATAGCCGAGGCGCGCTTTTTGTTGGTACGCCTGGACGTTCGAAACATGTTCTGCACCAATACCAGTTCCTCGAACTCACCTTGCGGAAAAAAAGAAAACCCTCACCTCCCTCTCCCCGAATGCCCCTCTCGGCGGCCCGTTTTAAGCCTGCAGCTGCCCCACTTGCTTGCATAGTTGAATGGCTCACCCAAAAAGTACTCCAAATCCTTTATATTTCACACTCTGCTTGACCATACCCTACCCACTCCCACTCTAACAAGCCTCCGACAACCGGGAGAGCACAAAAAAAACGCCTAACTTCTGTCTGTGCATCGGTTTCTCCCTACTTGGCCAAAGAGTGGTGGCACGTCACGCCGTCTGTGGCGCCGCAAGTTATTTTTCACCGATCAGAAAACTGCGGGCCACCTCTTTTCTGGCCAAAACATGGGGGACATGTCTTCGACGGCTAGCACTCCACATGAGAAATAGACAACCAAGAGACGCTAGGAAAACAAAACCTCCTTCGCACTGGCGTGGGAAACAAACGCAACTCAGGTTCCAAGCGTGGAGGACGTACGTAAGCCGATATTAGCAAAAAACGTAAACAACCGAGGCGGGCTACTTGAAAAGTCGCTCTCCCACTTTGGGTGGAAAGCTTTTAAACCAACCCCATGACCACTGCACTACTTGAAGCTCCTCAAGAAACAACCCCGGCGTTATGTACGTGGCGTACTGCAGCTCTTTCCCATGTGGCTCGTGGCTACACTCTGTTGTTGCTGGAGCTATCGTGTTGCGTAGCCTCGTTGCACATCACGGATGCGGACTGTTCACGCGTTGGGCCGCGGTGTTGAGTTAAGGGGCCGAGTTAGTCTGTGCCGCCGTGCCTGGGGGCTTCGCTGCCGCGCCTCTCGCCGCCATACCTGTCTGCGTCGCCCCTGCTGCCGCCGCCGCGGCCACCATCGTCGTCCCTGGGGCTCTGTGTGACACACGGCGTTTGTTGCAGCGGCAAAAAGGGCACACGGTAAGGAGGGCAGAAAGCAATGGAGGCAGGGGACAACGACAAATCAAAACGAGTAGATGGGTACATGTAGAGCCACTCCTTCCCAAGTTTAATCCTACTCTTGGGAAACTAGGTGCACGAGAGTGTTCGAGGAGAAGCCAAAAAGTAACCCAAGATATCAGTGCTGTGTTGCTTTGTACGGTCAGACCGTTGACATTTTTCTTGGGCTGTTCGGCGACTGCGTTCATGAGGTCAACCGGCCTCGAGCCCCTTCGCTCCTTCGTTTTCCTCCCGTCTCGCCCTCAAGCCGCGCCCGAGATGTGACGTGTCCGGGGCGTGAAACGTGCGCCACGCGAACGCGGCCAGCAAGAGGGCTGTCACGCACAGCAGTATAGCGATGATGATATCTAACGCAAGATATCACACACCCTTGGACCGTTTCTCCACACTCGATTGCTCCACGACGACGAGGATCGATACATCAAACGAATCGTTTTCGGAATAGGGACGACGAAGGCTCTAGCTCTTGAGCAAACCAAGAGGAATTGACGCCCCCCCCCCCAAAACAACAACAACGGGCACCCACCTTCCGTCCGTCCCTCTCCTCCCTGCGGTCCCCGCCGCCGCCGCCGTGCCCCCTGTTTCGGCTCCCGCTCCTGCTCCCGCCTCCGCCAGGGTTTGGTGAGCGGGAGCGGCGCCTGCGCTCCTTCCGATCGTCCCCCGGGGAGACCGGCGAGCGAGAGCGGGACCGGCTGCTGCGGCGGCGGCGGCGAGAAGGGGGAGACCTGCTCCTGCTTGTCGATCGACAGAGTATTTTAAGAGGGGAAGGGGGGGAGCGAGGGTATGCCGTGTAGTCGTTAAAATATTGATCTCGCATCCCTACAATGCCGGGACAGAGCCACATGCCGGGGGTGGGGGTGTATTCTCATGTAAACGCATGCCGAAGTCGTTGAAACATTGACCTCGCATCCCGGGACGGAGCGATATGCCGCGGGGGGGGGAGTACGTCGTGTGCTGACATATGGGAGCAAGCGTGTGATATGAAAGCCCACGAAGCATGAGGCACAAAGTTGATGGAAAGCAGTCGTTAACATCGCATCAGCAGTGTTTGTGTGTGAGGAGGTATGGAGCTCTTCTGTACATCGCTGCAGTGCGGGTAGTCCCCATGTGCTTTTCCCCTGCGGTCGGAAGCGCCAGGGGCGAGACGCCGCCAATATTCTCATATCACGCTTGCGTTCGCCAAGCAGGCACGTAGGTAACCGAAACACCAAGGACGACCGACCAATCACACATACCATGTGTTTTTGCCCACCGAAAGCTGCCGGCCACCCCAGCTGGTTCGGTCGTTACTTTCGTTTACGTGTCTACTTGGTGCTGGCTGCAAAGAGCGCTTGCTCAATACCCACAGTATGCTAGGTTGGACAAGAGTGCTGCGTCGACAATTCCGATCTCACCGTGTGTCGCCTCCAAAGACACGCGCGGCGACACACGTATACATGCAGCAGCCGACGATGGACTTTCCCCTCCTCCTAACGAATGAGCTCGAAAAAGACCAAAACACGCCCAGCCCAAAAGGATAGAAAACCGCTGACTACACACGATACATGTCACCAATTTTTCACGGAAAACTGACCTGGATCTACGGCGAGGGGACCGGCTACGGCCTCCCCTCCTGTCGTCGCGCCCGCCGCCGCCACCGCCACGATCGTAGTGACCGCCGCCACCGCCGCCACCGCCGCCATATCCACCGCCGCCACCGCCGCCATATCCACCGCCGCCACCGCCGCCATATCCACCGCCGCCACCGCCTCCATATCCGCCACTCCCACCACCACCAGGACGGCGTTTCCTGGCGTACTAAAGAGTAAGGCGTTTCCAATCGGCAGGACAGGGACGTGGCGGCGGCACGGGAGAGAGACGGTACAATGAAAGACGTTAGGGGGTGGGGCAGCAGTTACCAGGGTTTCGACGATAGGAAAAATAAACGGGGGAGGGAAGTGGCCTGGGGGGTATGTGCGAATGAAGAGCTGAGCTAGTGAAGGCGGCTCTCGCTTTGGTGCTGAGATAGACACAACACACGGGTAACAAGCTTCACACCAGTCGCGAGCCGTTTCCCCTGGCGTAGATATCTAAAATGTATTCTAGGCGCGCCAGGCTTTTCGCCAGACAGAAAGAGCAACGGCAACAACAGGAACTCCTTCCGCCCAAGCGCGATTCACGCTCGACAGAACGAAGACCCTGCCGTGGGAGAAGAAGCGCTGAAGTCCGACAGGCCTTGCGCCGGGCTGGATCTTCGCAACGAGTCAGGCCATCTCTACAGCACAAAAACAAAACCGGCCGTTCGTATCAGACTTTGAAAACATGCTCCCACCCTAGTACATGCATATAACAGCTTCGCGAGTTTTATTCTGTGTGATGAATGGCCCACGACCTTCATCGACAGGTCGAGATAGATACTGACAATAACACCGGGGTAGTCCTTCAAGCTTTGACGACTGCTATACAGCGGTAAATGCACACGTACCTGGATCCGCAGCTCGCGGCCGTTGAACCTCGTGCCGTCAAGCCTGTCGACGGCGTCGTCAGCATCGCGCTTGTCCAGGTATCGGACAAACGCAAACCCCCTCGGTTCGCCGGTCCTCATGTCGCGCGGAATGTACACGTCCCCCAGCTTCCCGCAGCTGAACGTTCAATGTCGTTCCGGAAACATAATAGGGGGGGGGGGCGGGGGTGCTTATAACCGTGCATGCCGTAGTCGTTCGACCATTGACCTCGCATCCCTACAGTACAAAGCCGGGACAGAGCACGCCGGGTTCTAACTGGGGGGGGGGGCAAGGAATCGACCGTTATCATGGTGCCCGAATAAGCGCATTGCGGTGCTTAACCTTGCTTGCACCCGAGGGCGACAGCGAGCAAGCACGTTAGTTAAACACGACCCGGCCAAAACTGAAGCTGTTATAGTGCGCACAACCTGGCAAACAAGAAGGCAGGCGGTGGGGGAGGGGGTGCTACAGGCCTCCGTCGTTTTGGTGGAACGAGTAAAACTGGAAGACAACAAGCTCGATCAGGTGATGGACCACACTCGCGAGCGTGGAGACACGAATGCGTGCACATACCTACCCACCGTCGTCACAGAGCATCTGGGACGGCAAACACTACGAAGCACGAGCGTCAGCGGCGATGGCAGCAGCAGGCAGGCAGGCAGGCAGGCAGGCAAGGCCACGGTGTCGCACGCCGGCACGAGTAGCGGGAATCGATCGGTGCGGGGACTGGGGTCGCGGAAACAAGGGACTGCATCACCGGAAGGAGGAAGAAGAAGCAGGCAAGGAGGGAAGAACGGATGGCAGCCCCCACCCGCTCACACTCTCTTCCTCGTCTCCGCTCAGCTCTTTCGCTGTGCCCGTGGATGTGAATCAAAGACTGGTACCGCCCCTGAGACGTGGAGGGCGTCCCCACCCCCCACCCCCGCTCCTTCCTACCGGGGCTCCCTTTCTCGTGCCTCTTTCATGTTCACCGGTCTTGACTCGCTTCTATCCCGCGTGCTGTTCTCTCTTTCTCTCTCTGACACCCTCTGTCCCTGAATTTCTCTCAATGTGTGGTGGTCCCTTCTGTGAATCTGCTACACGGGTGCACACGTGATCGCATGGTAGCCGGGAGTCAGTGTCTTGTTGTTGTTGTTATTGTTGTTGTTGTTGTTGTTGTTGTTGTTGTTGTTGTTGTTGTTGTTGTTGTTGTCTGCTGCGTGTTTTACAGTTTTCGTTCACCCTTCTCTAGCATCGTAATAGAGTTGCACGGCCGTGCTCCAAATACTGACAGCGCCGTCTTGTAGCTAGAAGTACACCGGACCAAGGAACGAGGCCTGTGCCTCCTCTTGCTGGTCCATGCCGCGTGCCTCGGGGAGTGCGGTGCTTCATTTGTTTGGTCCCTTGGAAAAAAATAAACACTGCCTTTTGCTCGGCTCACCCCTCGAAGACTTCCCGCAGCTCTTCCGGCGAGCACGTGAAGGCGATGTTGTCCACCTTCAGCGTCACCTGCAAGGAAAATGGAGTGGTGGGTGGGGTGGGGTATGCCGATTAGGAGCGAGGGCATGAAGCGGGGGGCAGGGGGGAAGGTGGGGGGGGGGGGTACTCATAGTCGTGCATGCCGTAGTCGTTAGACCATTGACCTCGCATCCCTACAAAGCCGGGACGGAGCACGCCGGGTTCTCACCGGACCAGGCTCTCACATCACCAAGCGCGAAGCGCCGTGAGATATTCGGCGAGTCGCATGAAGGGTGCGCTGTATCCTGCTGAGGGTGTTCGCAATCTTGTACTTGCTTCCTTGCGTATGGATGACAGCTGCGCATGACTTGATTTATTTTCTGGTACTTTCATTCCAGAGACAGTTGTAAGCACTGTGTAGCTGCCTCGAGGGTGCTTGACNTAGGTGAACAAAAAAAAACGGTAACCTGGTTGCCGAGTTCACGAAGTGAATTGGCTTGTTTTAC